GGATGTGGGTGTCCCCCTAAAATTCCTATGTTTAAATCCTAACCCCCAAAGTGATGGTATTAGGTGATAGGGTCTTTGGGAGGTGATTAGGTCTTGAGGGTGAAGCCGTTATGATTGGGATTAGTGCCCTTATACATGGGACTTCTGAGAGCTCTCTTGCCCCCATTCTACCATGTGAGGGTACAGTGAGAAGTCAGCATTCCACAACCTGGAAGAAGACCCTCACCAGAACCTGGCCAAGCTGACATCCTGACCTCTGGAGACTTCCAGCCTCCAGAACGAGGAGAAATAAATTTCTGTTGTTTGTCAGCCATCCCATTTGTAGTATTTTGGTATAGCTGTCCAAACAGATGAAGACAGTCTGCATAGTTGAGACACTAAAATCTATCCTTTTCCTATTGTGGACATTTAAGTTAATTAAGACTTTTTCCTCTGAAAAATAACTTCGTAGTGAACATCTCTGCCTACAACACTTTTTATTTAGTTCAGATTGTGCCCTTAGGAGTGAGTTCCAGAGATAATTTATTAGTCAAAAGGGCTTTTTGTTCTCTAGGGAAAAACCACTTTGTGTGTAATTGTTTGTTATTAAATGATGCTGATGAATATACAGTGGTAGAGAGTCCTTTGTCCCACACATTGCGGAAGGTGCTGTGGGCAGCAAGAAGGGGCAGGAAGAGTGGCTTCTGCCGTCAGAGGCAGCAAAGGCTACTCTGTAGGAAAAACAGTGCAGAGACGCCCGGCAGGACAGAACCACAGCCTAATGTGACTATTGTATGTACTGAAGCATCTGATGAGTTTGAAGTGGCTTCTAGATGCCTTCCAGGGAGATCATCATGTCTCCTCTGGTTTTTCTGGAAGCATGAGCTCCCACTTTCGTATTGCAAGCTATAGTTTATAAATCAATTCCTCCACATTATCTCAGACGTGCCCCTGGCCCCCATGATATTTGGGTGGGTGGGACATTCGTGCTCTCACTTGCAGACTGAAGCCGGGAGCAATGTGCCCAGGATCACACAGCCAGACCCTGAACCCAGAAGCTCTGACTCCGAGCCCAGTGCCATGGCCCTGTGCCAGCCCCACCATGCACAGTCTGTGTTTGTTACCATGTCACACAAAAATGGCTGGCTGACGGGGCTCCAGAGTCGGGGGGGCGTGTGTTAGAGGGAGGCTGATGTATAATACTGGCAATGGTGCTCACACAAGTTCACCTCAAGCGCACCTCAAAGACACAGGCCAGCATCCTCCAGGAAGCTGAAGCCGAGACCTGACCAGAGAGCACCCTCTGGAGAGATGAACCTTGAGTACACCAAGAATGCCACGGACGGAGATGGCAAAGGGGGCTGAGGTCAAGTCAGAAGTCTTGAGGACACTTCCAGTGGCAGCAGTCACATGAAGCCAGCAGCTTCTCACACAGGCCACTCTGTGCTCCTGCTAGATGAGGTGGGGCTGTGTTTCACTGAAGAGCTGTGCGTTCAGAAAATAGTAAAGCTGGAAGGAGCCCAGATGTCATCCCGTCCTACCCATTTCAGTGCACAGAACAGCAGTCCCCAGTCTTTTTGGCAACAGGGACCAGTTTCATGGAATTCAATTTTTCCACAGCAAGGGGTGCCAGGATATGATAGTTTCGGTTTTGGGGTGAAACTGTCCCACCTCAGATCATCAGGCATTAGATTCTCATAAGGAACTTGCAACCTAGATCCCTCACATACACAGTTCACCATAGGGTTCACACTCTTGTATGAATCTAATGCCTAACGATCTGACAGGAGGCAGAGCTCAGGCAGTAATGCTCCCTCACCGGCCACTTACCTCCTGCTGTGCAGCCCAGTTCCTAACAGGCCACGGACCGGTACTGGTCCACGCCCCAGGGGTTTGGAACCCCTGGTGTAGAAAATGAAACCAAGTTCACAGAACTGAATTTCCCAAGACCGCACAGCAAGTGAGTATGGGAGCCCAAGCAATATTTTTCTCCATTGTAGCATACGGCCTCTCATCTACACAGGATTATTAGAGAAATGCAGCTCTATTATTTTCAAGCACTTAGAGTTACTCTGAAAAAAAAAAATCCTCTGTTCAAAGCTCTTGAAGAAGGGACTTTAATGAATAGATATGTTTTATAGACAAACAGGCCTTTTCTTCCAAGGGCACTTGAAAGTAATCTACATGTCTTCTCTCCTATCTTTCTTTTCCTCTGCATTTTCTTAGCACATTTTCTCCAGGAATGGACAAATGAGCTTCCACGGGGTCATTGTTGAGATGATCACAAACCCCAAATGATGGGATCTCATGACTGAGGGTCTGCTGCCCAACAAACCAACAGGATTTCTCTGCTCCGTGGCATGACGACATTTAACTATGCAGGAAAACATGCAGCATTTCCCAAGCAATCAGGAACTTGGCTGGGCAGAGACGGAGAGACAGGACTGATTGGCAAAAGGCGGGTAAGGTTTTACTTTTTCCTCCTATGCAGATCAAACTGCAGCTGATTTTTTTACTCCACCCATACATTCCATAACAGCATGGGGTGAAGACGGGTGTGGGCGGCAACAGCACACAATATACAGGGGAATGTTCCAGAAGCTGGTGATGGTATGCATGTGTGCTATCTGTACATGTGTGTACATGCATATGTGTACTTGTGCATGCATGTGTGTACACAAGTGTTTGCATATGCATGTGTGTGTACATGTCCGTACACTCGTGTGTGTGCATGTGTGTACATGAGTGTGTGTGTGTGCACGTGTGTATGTGGACATATGTTAGGAGAGCATCAAAGCCTCTTCCTTCTTCCCTGTAATCCTGTGGCTCTCCTGCTATCCATTTAGACCCATGCACACATTTTGATCGGACTGTCAGGATGGAGGCTACATAGTACTTTGTTAATTCTTGGAAAACTTCTTTTTAAGACTCTTGCACTGAGGTTGCAAGAATTGATTCCTCTCAGCGATTAGATGCTGTGATTAGATGTCTTAGAGCAATCTTACATTAGAACATCTTACATTAGAGCAATCCTTAAACAGCAAATCAGATCCCTATCTCCACCTTCTTGTGATAAGAAAGTCTTAAGGAAGGCAACCATTTTTAACATACCTCTCAAAGAAAAAAAAAAAGGCAAGTCAGCCCAGGAATGCCTGAAGGAGACAAACAGTTGGTTTTAAATTTCCCTTCTCCACTCTGAGCATGCTTGCTTGTTTCTAAGGGTAGAGGGTTATTTTGAGCCAAAATTATTAAAATCATAATGAGACAAAAAGTGAAACTAACAGAGTCTTTGGCATGGTGGGTCTGGTTTGGCAATAATTTTTTTGTCTTCTCTCCATTCATTCAATCCAAAATGACAGCCGTGAAAATTCCACTGCGACGGTCACCATGCGCTAAAACCTGACAATGCCCATGATGCAAAATTACTGCTAGGTGTGTGTGTGTGTGTGTGTGTGTGTGGTCTTGCTTAAAAAATAAAAACTGGTAATGAAGTTGTAAATGTAGTTTCTTTCATAACTTATTCATTAAAGATATGACATGAAAACAGAGTTTCCATGGTAATGGCTTTGTGGATTCTGAGTACATAATAAGAATTTCGCTGTTTACACTACAGCGCAGATAACTGATGGGTGTTATTGTAGCCAATAGAGTCTTATTTAGCTTTCTGAATGCCTGTGAGGGCAGAAGGGCCGTGTGGCTGTCCTCGCCACACCTGTGTGTGGGCAGGAGGCTTCATAAATGCCAAGGCACACACACCTTAGATAGGAAGTGTATGCAAAGCCATGCCTTCTCAACACTCTTAAACTTAAATATTGAACATTCTAGCCAAAAAAAAAAAGCCTATCCTGAAATATTTCCACTTAATGTTTGACATAAGTCCATTTGACACAAAGAAAAGATTTTCTCTGCTAATATTTGGGCTATGCAATGAGACTACCTTGGTTCAGATCTTCACTCTTAAACCTATGAACTGCAAGACCTCAGCCAAGTTACCGAGCCTCTCCCTAATCCTTGGCTTTCTTACCTGTGAAATAGGGGCAGTAGACATAGACAATACAGACACAGTGTGCGAACACCGCTTGTTGTGAGGATAAGCATTCCGTGCCTGCCTGGTTCCTATAAAGTGCTTCCTGCCCCACCCTCTCCCAATGTGGTGGGATTGTCATTGTTTGCCATAACAGACTGATAAAGACTTATGGCTGATGATCTGCGGACCCAGCTCAAATGCCTCCTCTTCCATGAGGCCCTCCCTGTAGCTGCACGTGGTCTCTCCCCGCCCTTCTCACAAAGCATCTTCCAGCTCCCTTTTGACTTCAATGATTTATGGGCTTATCCCTCTCCTTGTAAGGCCACGTTTCCCCGTTATGGTCCAGGGCCTGGCACAGAGTAGGTACCCCACAAAAGAGAAGTTTGATTTATGAAAACTTAGATTATTAAAACCCACTATGTGACCTCAATTCGGGAAATGGGGGTTTAAAAAAATTGCTATTGTTTTAGTTTTATTTGGGGATGAGAATAGCATAGGAAGGCCAAGATAATTTTTTAAGTCAATACTTAAGAATTTAGGGAATGCGTGACCCTAAGTTGAAAGTGAGAGTTCATAAGGACTAAGACGCAATGCAGTTTTTTAAACATCCTGCTGCCAACTCTGCCTGGCCACCTTATGCTAGGGTGAAGAGCACCTAGGATACAAAATTTAATGTGGGCCGGGTATTGTGGCTCATGCCTAGAATCCCAGCACGGTGGGAGACCCAGAGTGGGTGGATCACTTAAGATCAGGAGCTCGAGATCAGCCTGGCCAACATGGCAAAACCCTGTCTCTCCTAAAAATACAAAAATTAGCTGGCCTGGTGGCAGGTACCTGAAATTCCATCTACTCAGGAGGCTGAGGCGGTAGAATCACTTGAACCTGGGAGGCAGAAGTTGCAGTGAGCTGAGATGACACCACTGCACTCCAGCCTGGTGACAGAGCAGGACTGTCTCAAAAAAAAAAAAAAACTAATGAGACACTCACTCTTAGGGCCATTTACTGGCTATTAAATGTTGTCCTTTACACACCTCCACCTCTCATCCTTGTCCCATTTTGTGTCCTGGAATGGATGGTAGGGTTGGATTCTATGCTCGTTAGCTCCAGGCTACGAGGCAAAGCTTTCTTGGATGCAGTCATATGAAGTCCTTTTGCTGTACTTCTGAAGGAAAAACAAAACAGGACAAGAATGCATCCAACACAGCAGACGGAGATATAACCGGTGACACTGGCTGCTACACTTTGCAGACAAACTGATACCATGTGGGTCTTATTTATAAGACAGACATTAATCCAGTTCTGCATGACAGTAGCACCATTTACTCACAACATTCCAGGAAGTCTTCTAGCCCATTCAAGTAAGTGTTCCACAGTCTTCCTCATACTGCAAATCCTAATTGCTGGCATCTAGATGAGAGGAAGAGATTCAACCATGAAGACATGCTTGACAAAAACTATGATTATATAACAAGAATTTTAACTGCCAGAATAGTCCTTGAGTAATTACACAAGTTAGGGGGAAAGGGAATAGGGAAAGAGAGAGAAACAGACACAAGTCATCTTCCCCTGCCTGCTGTTTTACACGGGAGAGGGGCTGTACTCACCACCTTCTTGAGATGCTCAGGTAAAGCAGAAAACACTTGACCCCCATCACGCAGGAAGGCAAGTTGGAACCGGAAAGCTGACTCCAAAACTTCTGTGGAAATGCAAGGGGCCTAGACTACCCGAAGCGACTTCGAAAAAGAACAACAGAGTTGGAGGCTATACACTGTCTGATGACAAGACTTATTAAAAAGCCACAGTAATCAAGACAGTGTGATATTGCCATGAAGATAGACACAGAGATCAATGGAACAGAATAGAGCCCAGAAATCAACCCATACATAGATGGTCAATTTTGTTTTCATCCAGAGTGCCAAGGCAACTTAGTGGGAAAGGGACAATCTTTTCAGTAAAAAGTGTTGGAAGAAATGAATTTCCATATGCACAAGAAAAAAAATCCTTCAACCCTTACCTCACATCATATACAAGAATTAACATGAAATGGATCATATATGCCTAAAGGCAGGAGGTAAAAAAATTATAAAACTTCCACGGAAAACATAGGCGAAAATCCTAATGACATATTATGAAGCAAAGATGTCTTCAATACAACAAAAATACATTTTAAAAAGCACAAGCTATCAAATAAAAGGTTAATACACTGACTTCATTAAAATTGAAAAATTTTTGGCCAGCTATGGTGCTTCATACCTATAATCCTAGCACTTTGGGAAGCTGACATGGGAGGATGATTTGAGGCCAGGAATTCAAGACCAACCTGGCCAACATTGCAAGACCCTATCACGTTTAATAAGATAAAATAATAGTAAAATCAAATTAAAATTATAAACTTTTCTTCTTCAAAAGGCACTGTTTTGAAAATAAAAAGTCAAGTCACAGGGTGACTTGAAAGAAAATATTTGTAAAACTTTATCTGACAAAGAACTTGTTTATAGCATATAGGAAGAACTTTTATAACTGATAAAATATTTAAACAGACACTTTACCAAAGAAGATATACTGTGACAAGAAGCACATGAAAAAGTGCTTAACATTATTCAGTTAGGGAAAGACAGGGTAAAACCGCAATGTGATGTCACTAACATCATTAGAATGGTAAAATGAGGCAGATTGACCAAAGGCTCGTGAGGCTTGGAGGCACTGGAATGAATCTTCACATGCCATTAGTTGGGATGTAAGATGATACAACTACTTTTAAAACATTTTGTCAGTTTTTTTTTTTTTTTTTTTTTTTGAGACAGAGTCTCACTCTGCTGCCCAGGCTGGAGTACTGTGGCCTAGTCTTGGCTCACTGCAACCTCCACATCCTGGGTTCAGGCAATTCTCCTGCCTCAGCCTCCTGCATAGCCGGGATTACAGGTGCCTACCACCACGTCTGGCTAATTTTTGTATTTTTAGTAGAGACAGGGTTTCACCATCTTAGCTGTGCTGGTCTTGAACCCCTGACCTTGAGATCCACCCACCTCAGCCTCCCAAAGTGCTGGAATTGCAAGCTTGAGCCACTGCGCCCAGCCTGTCAGTTTCTTAAAAAATGAAACATAGATCTGCCATATGACCCAGCATTGCATTTGCAGTATTTATTCATAAGAAATGAAAGCCTGTGTTCATAAAAAGATTGTACACAAATGTTTATAGCAGCTTTGCTTGTAATAACCAAAAGCTAGACAAAAATACAAATATCCATCAACAGGTGGATGTATAAACAGATTGTGGGTTATCTGTGTGATAAACTCAGCACATAACAGAATGATCTACTGATACGTACAACAACACAGATGAATCTCAAAATAACTACATTGAGTGAAAGAAGCAAGACAAAGAATACCTACTGCGTGCATCTGTTTATCCAAAATTCTACGAAATGTGTATCCGTCTCTCATGACAGAAAGCAGATCTGTCTGGGGATGAGGAGGGCAGTGAGGGTGGGGGAAGTGATTATGTTCATTGCGTTGACTGCTGTGATGGTGAGACCAGCAGCTTGTGCCCCGGCCCAGCTGACGGACAACCAGTTGTGCTTCAGACACCATCAGGAAGCTATTGGTGTGATGATACCTCTGAAAATCCTGTCCCTGGACAGGACCATCAACCTTTCCCTCTCTGCTCTGTTCTCCATCCAAAACTCTCTCCAAAACTCCTCCCCAAGTCTGATCCTTCCGTGTCGGTGCTGGCGGCTCTCTGCCTATGCCCTGTCTACCCACAGCAGTCATAGCAACAAGGAAAACTCAAGTGTGACTGAGATTTGGTACTTTCTATTTAATAGAATGATTCAGTAACATTAAGTAACGATAAAGAATCGTTGACTGTAATCTTACAGATCAAGGAGAACCGTGTCACTTACCTCATGTAATTACCAGTCGTTAAATGGCCTGTACAAGACTCTATGATAAGGAAATGGTAGAGCCAGGGGTCGGCACCAAGTCTGCACTGTCAGTCTTGCATCGGTGCTTTCCAGACCTTCGTGAATTTTGTGCACCACCCATCCAATGAATTAATTAATCTTTTTCTTTCAATTGATTACGTTTCATAAAACAATACATTGATTTTTAAGTTTCCTGTCACTCTGTAAATGGAAAATAAGTATTGCCTGACCAAAATAAGAAAAAATACCCATAAAACAAATATAGTGGGTACAAGACAATGTTACTAACAGCTAGCTTAATGCTATCCTTTGCAGAAGGCTCTGAGCCAGAGGATGGCATTAGATGGGTGTGTCAAAGCCTAACACCCAACTGGGACTTTGGTCCTGGCTGAAGTCAGAATTATTTGAAAAGAACTGGAGTGGGAATACCTGTCCCCCCATGGGTGAGTCCATCAGTAGCTAGGGCTCGTCTCTGTGCCACCTAAAGTCATCTTAGTAGTTTCACACATTGCATTCAGCTACTTCTCCAGTTGTCATAGAACCCCATGAACAGGGGAAGACCACCTGTCGTTAATACTCCCATCTTACATGCTGTATACACAGGTTGGGCAGTGTGGCCAGCTGAGAGTTGTCTTTGCCTTGTGCAGTCTCGAATCTGAGCCCTGTCTTTAACTAGTCCTGAGTCATGGCCTCAGCTGACATCCGTATGAGAGAAGCACAAGAGAGAGAGCACCACGTGTAGCTGCCCTGAGGCCGGCACACAGTGTCAGGTGCAGTGTGCTAAGGTCACACGCCGGGTCCTCCAGGCTGTGCCCTTCTGTGGATTCATGCAAAAAACGTACAGGTCTATTCAAGCCTGGACATTTGTAACCTTCGATTACATCCACACAGAGCTATTAACTATAATCTCATTAAAACAGAATGAGAAGTGTTAGGACTCCTGGCCTTTCTTCTCGAAGAAACTGCCCCCAAATCTGCAAAGTAAAAATTCCATGAAGCTCAGAAAGACCAAACAGCTACATCTGCTTCAAGTGCTAGTTTTTCATTAATTTTCCCCAAATGCTCTCAGCATCTCGCAGATTTTGAGAGAAGAATTCGCCTCATTTTCTTGTTAGTCACCCCCGCTCACTGTCCAAAGTGTTCAGCATTGTGTGAGGGGTAAGGCCAGGGCAAGCCCATAACAGACAAAATGGGGTATCCCCTCAGAGCCACCTCAGTGTGTTTCCATTGTCTCAGTTTCTCTGACCGCCCCCCCCAACCCTCCACAAACACACACACACACTCAGCTCAGTGGCCCAGGGTGTGTGGCCTCCAGCTGTGTGGAGACCTGGAAGAAAGCACACAGGGGCAGTTCCTGCTCATCCTCTGGCCAGCCTGTAAGGGCTCCCTTGAACGTGACTTCTGTCCCAGGTGGGGCGGGGGGAATTTCTTTGCCAGAAAGGCCTCCAGCACAAAGCCTGAGTGGCCAGCTCCCGCCTTGCAGTGAATAGACTTCACTACTGAAGCTCCAAACAGCAGCAGAGGAAACTGTTTCCAGGCATTTTCAAGGTCAGAAAGGAAAGTGAGGAGCATAAATATGGAGCAAGCATTGCTGGAGCAGAGAAGATGCTGGCATCAGACAACTGGAAGCGGAGATTAGCTACACACAGCTGGGCGCCAGCCACATGCATCCCCTGTTGCGGGTTTTTCTCTGCAGAGCTCTCTGGAGCTGGCTGGTGTCCTCACAGTTTTTGGATGGAGTCAGGAGCAAGATGTGATTTCTCAAGAAATCTGGGTTTTTTAAGATGTTATCTGGCCCCAAGTCTCAGGGTTCAGATCACCCAGAGGCAGGATATTCTTAGACCCTGAACAAAATCTCAGAGAAGGAAAGCAACTCCCCAAAGCTGAGTCCAGCAAACTACCTCTACCCTCAGTGGACAGGATAGGTTCCTTTCATGATTACTTCCCCCGGCAAAGGCTGCTTCTCCCCTCTTGTCGACTCTGGTTCCTCTGGGACCATCCGTAAAGAATTCGCTTCTGGGGCTTCAAGCCCTTCTGTAGGGCAAAGTCACTGCCTTAGAAAAGTGAGGTCTGGAAAGGCCAGGAGTCCTAACACTTCTCCTTCTATTTTAATGAGATTGTAGTTAATAGCTCTGTGTGGATGAAAGGGTGCTGGGGAGGGTCTCAGGGAGTTCAGCCTGCTAGATCCTAGACACACCCGTCTCTGTGGCGCCACCAAGTCATTTATCTTCTCAGAGTCTTGGTTTACTCATTTATGAAAAACAAGAATATAATTGCTCCTTTCAGAGGCAGTGCAAGATGGCTGAACAGACCCTTCAGGCCAATTGTCCCTTCTAGCAAGAACACCAAATTGAACAACTAACACAAGAAAATACCTTCATAAGAACCAAAAATCAGATGAGGAATCACAGTACCTGGCTTTAACATCCTATTAAGGAAAGAGGCACTGAAGAGGGAAGAAAAGACCGTCTTGAACTGCCTACACCACCCTTCTCCCATCCCTCAGCAGCAGGGCCACATGGTACCGAGAGAATCTCTGTGCGTGGTAGAGGGACAGCACAGACATTGCGGTACTTGTATGGGAACTTAGAGCTGCCCTGTAACAGTGGAAAGCAACACAGGGAAGAAATCAGCTCTAGCTCCTGGAGGGAGCATTAAGACCAGCCCTAGCCAGAGGGGAACCACACCTCCAAGTGATCAGGAACCTGAGCTCGAGCTGGCCCCACTGCTGTGGGCTAGTGTTCTGGAGTTCTAAATAAAGGTGGTCTAAGCCACAAGGATTAGAATTCCTGGGCAAGTCCTGGTGCTGGGCTGGGTTTGGAGCCAGTGCACTTGGGGTGTACACAATCCAGTGAGACACCAGCCAGGGTAGACAGGGGAGTCCTTGTGTCATCCCTCCCCCAACCTCAGGCAGTGCAGCTCACAGCTCTGGGAAAGACTCCTACCTTCTGTCTCAGGACGGGAGAGGGGAGTGTAAAAAGGAGTTTGTCTTGTAACTTGAATATCAGTTTAGCTACAGTAGAATAGAGCACCAGGCAGAGTCCTGAGATCCCCATTCTGGGTCCTCACTCCCAAATGACATTTCTAGACAGACCCCGGGCCAGAAGGGAACTTGCTTCCTTGAAGAGAAGGACCCAGTCGTGGCAGGAGTTACCACCTGCTGACTAAAAGGCCCTTGGGCCTTGAATAAACATCAGTGGTTGCTAGGCAGTACTCCACAGGCCTTGGGCCATGCTGACTTCAGGTGTGATTCAGCACAT